TGGAACTTTTAATATGAATGTATGTTGGATTTTGTCAAAGGTCTTTTCTGCTTCTATTGAGATGACTATGCAGTTCCTGTCTTTAAATCTATTTATATGTTTTGTGACATTTATTGACTTACATATATTGAACCATCCCTGTATCTCTGGATTAAAGCAACTTGATCTTGATGGGTGATGTTTTTGATGTATGTCTGTGTGCAGTTTATGAGTATTTTGTTGAGTCTCTTGTATCTATGTTCACTAAGGATATGGGTCTATAGTTTTCTTTTTTGTTGTGTCTTTACCTGGTTTGGGTATTAGAGTGATATTGGCCTCATTGAAGGAGTTTTGAAGTTCTCCCTCTGTTTCTATCTTTGTGAGTATTTGAAACAGTATTGGTTGTAGATCTTTTTTGAATGTCTGGTAGAATTCTGCTGTGAATCCATCTGGGCCTGTCCTTTTTTTAGTCTGGAGGTTTTGTATTACTATTTCAATTTCCTTATTTGTTATGGGTCTGTTTGAGCTCTTGATTTTTCTTTTTGGTTTAGCTTTGCCAATTCCCATGATTTTAGATATCCATTCACTTCTTTTAGATTTTTGAATTTAATGGAGTATAGATTTTTAAAATATCCCTTTACAGTGTTCTGGATTTTTTTTACTGTCTGTTGTGATGTTTCTCCCTCGCCTCTGATTTTGTTGATTTAGATTTGCTCTTTCCTTCTTTTGGCCAATGGGGCTAAGTGTCTATCTTATTTAAACTTTCAAAGAATCAGCTGTTAGATTCATTGATTTTTTTTGTAGTGTTTTCTTCACATTTCATTGATTTCTGCTCTGATTTTTATTATTTCTTCTCATCTACTAGGTTTGAGTTTGTTTTGTTCTTGCCTTTCCAGAATCTTGAGTTGTACTGTCAAGTAATTTACATATGCTCTTTCTGACTTTTTAATGTAGGCACTAAGAACTAAGAACTTCCCTCTTAGGACTGCTTTTCAAATGTTTCAGAGGTTTTATTGTGCTGTGTTCTCATTTTCATTTAGATCCAGGAATACTTTTATTTCTTGACTTATTTCTTTGACTCATTCATCATTCAACAATGTGTTGTTTAATTTCCTTGAATTAATGTAGTTACTAGAGCTTCTTCTGTTGTTTCTTATTAGCTTTATTGCACTGTAGTCTGATAGAATGCTTGGAATTCTTTCAATTTTTTTGTATTTGTTGAGATTTGTTTTGTGTCCCAGAATGCCATCAATTTTAGAAATTTACATGGGCTGCTGAGTAGAAAGTGTATTCTTCGATGCTTGGGTGGAATATTCTGTAGATTTCACGTTGATATCATTTAATTCAGATGTTTATTTATTCCTTGTCCAATAGACCTGTCTATTGAAGATGGTGGGGTATTAAAGTCACCTACTATTTCTGAGTTGGAGTTAATCTCTGTTTTTTAGTCCTGGAGTACTGTTTTATATGAAATTGGGTGCTCCAGAGTTTGGTACATATATGTTCATGATTGTAATGTCTTCTTGGTCAATTGTCCCTTTGATTATAATGAAGTAATCCTCTTTATCTCTTCTGATTAGTTTTAATTTGAAGTCTATTTTGTCAGATAGCAGAATTGCAACACCTGCTTGCTTGTTAGAGCTATTTGCTTGGAATATTTTTTTTTCATCCTTTCACCCTAAGGTAGTGTCTATCCTTAAAGGTTGATATGAGTTTCTTGCAGACAATGAAAAGATGAGTTTTCTTTCTTGATCAATTCCACTAGCCTATTTTTTGATAGGAGAGTTGAGGCCATTGATATTTAGTGTTATTATTGAACGATGTGTATTGGATAGTGTCATTTTTAATTTCTTTGTATTTCTGGCTCTCTTTTGTACTTCCATTATTGTACCTTTCTTTCTACAGCCTCTTGGGTATATGTATTCATTTCTTTGATCCTTTGTATTTCTTTGAGTATTCTCTGTAGGGCTGGTTTGGTGGACATGAATTCTTTCAGCCTATTCGTGGTACGAAAACTTTGCTGTTCCCCTTTGACCATGATAGATGGCTTTGCTGAATAAAGTATTCAGGGTTGGTACCCACAATGGTTCAGAACTGGGAGTACTTTGGTCCAGACTCTTCTGACTTTCATAGTTTGCACTGAGAAGTCAGCTATAATTCTGATGGGTTTTCCTTTATATGTAACTTGTTTTTCTCTAGCAGCTTTCAGTAACCTGTCTGTGTTCTGTACATTTAATGTTTTGATCTGATGTGCCGTGGGGAGATTCTGTTCTGGTCATGTCTAATTGGTGTTCTGTGTGCTTATTGAATCTCTATAGGTAAGCCTTTCCTTAATGTAGGTAAGTTTGCTTCTATAATCCAGTTGAATATCTGTTCAAAGCCATTGACCTGAGATTCTTCTCCTTCCTGTATGCCTATAATTCATAGATTTGATTTGATCTTCTCATGTTGTTCCACATTTCCCAAGTATTACATTCCTGTGTTTTTTTGAATTTTACATAGTACTTGCTTAAGGAGTCCGGGTTTTCAACTTTATCACTCAGTCTTAATATTCTGTTTTCCATTTTATTCATTCTACCTGTAAGGCTATCTCCTGTTGTTTCTATGTGGTTTATTGAGTTTTTCAACCCCATGATCATTTCTGTTTGGGTTTTCTTCACTAGTTCTATCTCTTTTGTGAATTCACTTTTCAAATTATGAATTGGTTTTGATATTTCATTAAGTCACATATTTGAATTTATTTGGGCTTCCATCACAACCTTATGCCTTTCCTCTTTGAATTCTTTGATTTGTTTGTCTGTGTTTTCTTTAAGTTCTTTGATCATGTTTATAATTTTTCTTTTAAATTCTGCATAGTGGGTTTCCACAAGGTGGTTTTCATTATAGTGCATTTCCATAGGACTAGTGGGTTTTTCTGGTGACATAGTCTCTTAGTTTTTCATATTATTTGTGTTTTTGCACTGCCATTTAGGTGTGTGGGTGTTCTTTGATTGTTTTTTGCCCAACAAGAACAGCTCTGCCTTTGTTTAACTTAATTTTTGTTCTGTGTATATTGATTATGTAGTTTGATTGCTTTTTGTACAGGTATGGAAAATAAATTGGTGCAAGTTTTCAGTTCTTGCAGGGTAGTAGAATTGTCTGGGTGAATGGTAGGATGTACAAGTAGGCTAACCAGGTTAGCAAGAGGGCTGGTCTGTGTCAGGCAGATCAGGAGCCAGTGGAGTCTATGCTAGAGAGTTTAGTTGGTCAGGGTTAGGAAGCTAGTCCAGGGATCTGAGATGAGGAATTGGGACCTGCCTGGGTCCAAGGCTGGCAGGGAATGGGCAAGACAAATAGAATATATGCATGGTAGGTGGGATCTGACTTACCAGGGTCCTGGCTGGGAAGGTCTGTCCAGCTGCTCTGGAGGCAGGGAAGATGGCAGTGGGGCAGCACCTGAGTAGGGACTTGCTAATCAATAGTCAGGTGCTTAGCTAATTTGGGTTAGGAAGTTAGTCCAGGAATCTGAGGCAGAGGAATTGGCACCTGCCTAGATTCAAGGGTCTATTTCTTTCTTAATTTCTTTTTTGATCTATTCATCATTTAGAAGTGTGTTGTTTAATCTCCATGAGTTCTTGTAGTAAATATAGCTTCTTTTAGTGTTTCTTCTAAGATTTATTGTGCTGTGGTTTGCTAGGATGCATGGAATTATTTCAATTTTCTTTGTGTTTGTTGAGGGTTGCTTCATGCTTCAGTATATGGTCAATTTTAGAGAAATTTCCATGGGGTGTTGAATAAAAAGTGTATTCTTTAGTCCTTGGGTGGAATATTCAACAGATATCTGTTAGGTCCATTTGATTTATGGCATCATTTAATTCAGATTTCTTTCTATTTATTCTTTGACTAGTCGATTTATCTATTGGCAATAGTGGGGTACTGAAGTCTGTACTATTAATGAGTTGTGGTTAATCTGAGTCTTAAAATCCTATAGTACTGTTTTTATAAAATTGGGCGCACCAGACTTTGGGGCATATATGTTCATGATTCTAATATCTTCTTGATCAATTGCACCTATGGTTAGTATGAAGTGACCCTCTGTAATTGATTCTGATTAGTTTTAATTTGAAGTCTCTTTTGCCAGATATTAGAATTGCAAGCCATGCTTGTTTCCTAGCGCCATTTTCTTGGAATATTTTCCCCATCCTTTCACCTTAGAGTAGTGCCTATCCTTGAAGGTGAGATGGGTTACTTGCAGATGACAAAAAGATGAACTTTTTTTTTAAATCCATTCAAATAGTTTTTGTCGTTTGACTGGGGAGTTCAGTCCATTGATATTTAAAGTTATTGAAAATGTGCACTGGTTGCTGTCACTTTGATTTCTGTTTGCCTTTTTGGTCTAATTTTATGTCTCCACAGTTATACCTTCATTTAGTTTTGTTCTGTTGCCTCTTGGGTATAGTTATTCCTTTCTTCAGTTCTTTGTATTGCTTTGAGTATTCTCTGAAGGGCTGGTTTGGTGAACATGAATTCTTTCCACCTTTTTTGTGTCATGGAAGATTTTTCTTTCTCCTTCAACTATAACTGACAATTTTTCTGGGTAAAGTATTATGGGTTGGCATCTATTGTCATTTATAACTGGGAATACTTTGGTCCAGGCTTTTCAAGCTTTCATGGTTTGCATTGAAAAGTCAGCCATAAATCTGATGGGTTTTCATTTATATGTGACTTAATGTTTTTCTCTTGAAATGTTCAGTATTCTCTATTTATTCTGTACATTTATTGATTTTTATTTTGATATGCCATGGGGAATTTCTTTTCTGGCCCTGTCTATTCAGTGTTCTATGTGCTTCTTGTATTTGCATGGGTATTTCTTTCCTTAATTTGGGAAATTTTTCTTCTACAATCCTGTTGAAGATCTTGTCCACACAATTCACTTGAGGTTCTTCTCCTTCCTCTATGCCTATCATGTGTAAATTTGATCTTTTCATGGTGTCCCTCATTTCCTGCATACTCCATTCCTGTTTTTTGTTTATTTGTTTTTTTATTGTTCTCTAGGCATGAAACAGCTTTGGCCACTGAGCCAGGCATCAAGCTCAGATGAATCAAGGACTATCAACTGCTCTGCCCCTGAATGACTTAAGAACAACATCACCAATGAAGTGTCTTTTGCCCATTGGCAGGGGTCATTCCTGTGTTTTTAATTTTTTTTTCTTGTTCTTTGCTTGAATGATCCAGTTCTTCAACTACTGTCCAATCTTGAGATTATGTTTTCCGTTTCATTCATTCTATTGGTGAGGCTTTCTCCTCCCTTTTCAAATTGGCTTATTGAATTTTTCACTTATTTCTTCATTTTAGCCTGAGTTTTCTTCAATATTTCTACCTCTTTTGTCAATTGAGTCACATGTTTATCCCTATCTTCTTTTAGTTCTTTAACTTGCTTGTTTGTGTGATCATTAAATTTGTTGAATTCTTTGATGTGTTTATGATTTTTCTTTTAAATTTTGTTTACTGGCTTATCACTAGGGATTTCTCATTATAGAACTCTCTATAAGACTGGTTTGTTTGGTGAGAATATGTTATTTTGATTCTTCATGTTATTATTTTTTTCATTGTGGTTTTGGCATATGGATTTCTTTCATTGTTTATGATTGTGGTATGAAACACAAGCCTGCCTTTGTTAAGTCTGATTCTGTTTGCATTATTGGTGTACCTTTGTTGCTTTCTGATTGAGTATGAAAAGCATATTGGTTTGGGCTTCTGGTTGTCTCTTTGATTTTATATTGGAGAGACTAGATGACACCAATCAGGCTACTCAGGGGCTCTCCAGATGGGTTAAAAGGCCCTGGCTAGTTAGGAACACTTCAGAAGTCACAGATGGATAGTGCCAATGTCCAAGGAGAGAAGATGGGAGATGGAAGTGCTGGTCCCAACTAGTTAGCAGGGAAGGCTACACCTCGGAACAATGGAAGAGTCTGAAGATGGCCTAGGTATGGTGCAATTTGGGGAGCTCACCCTACAGAGGCCAGAGTCAGGCATGAGTCAAGTGCTTACAGAGGTCAGGGTCAGGCACTCTCAGGCAGTCTCCAAAGTTCTGGGCCTCTACTATCCAGTGCAGAATCTAGATGTTTAAACCATATACATATAATGTGGAATCAGAAACAGGACACTTTTGGGGGGAGGAAGTGGTTGAAATGGAGTAGATAGAGGGGATGAGATGATGATGGGAGAGAAAAAACACCTGAAGGTATTACATAGTCTTTCATTTTCAAAACATATATATTTAAATGTATGTTTTATATGTATTTGTATGCATATAAAGGAATGACATTAAAACAGCAGAGATATTTGGAATGAGGACATGAACTAATTGGAACTAAAAGGTAAGCAAATGTCTCTGACAGGAGTCATGTGAGCAGCAAACTGGTATGAATGTATGAAAAGTTTTGAAGAAATAGAATATTATATACCAAGTAAAACTGAAGTAGCAATGGCTGAACTATGTTTTGTACAATGAAATTCTTATTTTCTGTCTTGAAGAATGAATTTCCATCCTCCTTCTTGGCTATTTCTTCCTGTAAACAATCTTTGCATCTGCCTATTACCATTTTCTAGAAGATTTCATCCCAGAACATAAAATAGGCTGCTGATGCAAAGCCTTGACACTGCAGTAGGATAAGCACAAACAATGGAGGGAATCAACAGATGGAACTGAGGAACATGAAGCTGTGTCCTCATCTAGAAATCAAACTTTTATCTGAGTGTCTAAATATTGAGGGACTGCCTGGGTTTTATTAAGCTTTGCATGAATCTGTGAATTTCTGGATTTGCATGATTGTTGTTTCTCCAGGAAAAATAATAAATTTGGTGGAGATTCTGAATGCCTGAGAGGTATGAAATAGCACACAATTAACACTGTTTCTGCTCTGAGACTGGCTGGATGTGGGGTATCCTACACTACCTTTTGTTATGTAGGACTTAGGAGAACACATCCCTTGTGTGTCTGTGTGTGCTCTGACTGACATGGGCCTTTGTCCTCACATCTTCCAGTAGATCCTCTATAGGAGCCATTTACATTATTTCAAATGCTGCTCATGTTAATGACTTGTTGGAAGAGGCTGGGGGCCAAATGTTCTCAAGAGGGGACCCCCTTGCTTCACCTGCTATGAGCATGAATGAACTCTTGGCTCCTAAGACAGTAGAAAATAAGCCTCCAAATAAATTTTCCAAAGTATAATGTTAACCTGGATTCAGACCACAGATGCAAGCCCCGGGGCAGAAAGCACCAGATTTCTCTAGACAGTGTACAGCAAGAGAGACAGAAAGGAAGGTGGGGATATAAATTATCTGGCTGATCAGCAACATTAATAAAAACAGACATATGCACACAGACACACATGATATGTTTGTCTACATGACCCTTCAGCTTCCTCCTCTGCTCAGGCTTAAAGCCTCACAGACATGGAAAAGATGTCCACTCTGATGTTTGTCTTCTTTCTCCTGAGGCTTCCTCTCCTCTTGTGCAATGATAATGAAAACAGATGCTTTCAGAGAAAAAAAGGCAAGGACAGCAACGATGTGGACATGAGGAATGAATGTGGTTTTTTCCTTTTTTGCCCAACAGGAAAAGTTGCCACAGTATTATTTCAGTGACTTCCTTGATTTTCAGTAAGTGCTTTTTATGTTCATTGTTTTTCTGTTTGATCATCATAACAAGGCATAGGAAGTGTACAGATGGATAGATCATCACTGGGCCTTTAATCCTGTTTTATGAACCAAATCAAATAGAACTGCCCCCAAATTACTTTTATTTGTACAAATCATTTTTGCTTTTTTTCCACTTTCAAAGGGATCAGGTGGCATTTTTTTTTTCTGTCTTTTAAACTCTCATTTACAAAGCTGGGAGATGGAAGAGACAGTATTCCTACATTGCTTCTGTGTAGATGTCCCTTCTCTTGATAGCTTCCATTTCATGGGATAAAATGATCTCATTTAGAAACAAAATTTAAACCACTGGTAAGAATTTAGTGTTAAGAGGAGACAGCAAAATGTCCAAGTGTCTGCTGAGGTTTCCTCCATCAGCATGTCATTACTAAAGCCTGCACTAAGGAGTCACTTGCTTTTATGTTGTCCCTGCTTGTCGAATTTCCACATTGCTCTTTGGCTGTTCATTGAAATAATGTAGATGCCATCTGATGATGTCATTTATGTTCCACGAGTTCTGGAACAGAAATCAAGTACAGGAGCAAGAGATTTGTCTACTCAAGCTTTTGGTTTCCGACTGCATTCTGTCTCAGTGTGGTACACACATTGCCACAGGTTCATGGCATAATTGTAAGGTATCAGTTCAATATTCTAATAAATGAAAGAAGGCTACTTGGCGGCATTCTAGTATTGCAGAGGGGTCATGTTACTGAAAGTACTGATTGCCTCTCTTATGACATTCCAAGGTGACAGGTGTTACCAGTGAACATTTTCAATATTTTATGTTTTTGGGCACTTATAACACATTCACCTTTACTTTCTTCTTTCAGTAGCTTTATCAAATTGTTACCAATATGTGTACTGTAGCACAATGCACATTTAATTGTGAGTTGGTGACACTTAATGTCACATATACAGGATTTACCCCTTCCTGTATGGAGGTTCTGGCTTCTATCTCCAGTGTTTCTGTAATGGAAATTCTCATTACTGACATGTTACATGTGCTAACGAAGACTATTCATTAGAGGTGTGGGAACTTCTGTGGCACAATTTTCTGTTTCAAAGAAAATTGTGTTTAGCTTTGAATAGACTATTTGCAAATATGAAGTAAATATGAAGGAGCAGGTTTGGAGTTTCTGGATAGGAGGATTATTATTAAAATCATACAGAAAAAGTGGGAGACTGAAGAGACTGAACTACCAGCTTTGATGCGGTGGTCTGGGTGATCAGACACCCCTTGTTGCTGTAATACAAAGTGTGATCAGATTTCTATATGGCTATTTACATCAAAATTCACAGAAAATTTTAATAAGGAATAGAAGGAAGCAGAAGAGAGCATAAAGATTCCTAACTGAAAAGAAGTCAATGGAGGCTCTGGAATTTTAATGGAATGCAGTTTTTAGCAGAGTAGTCACATTGTGCCCCAGCATTCTTGGAACTCAGCGTGCTGGAGAGAGACATTTACATTTCACTGGAGGTGAGCTGAGCCTGCCCTCAGCTCCTCTCCTCTTCCCCACTTCACTCTCATCATTTCAGAGACCAGTGTGACACTTGACTTTTTCCAGACCCGTGCATGGAGAAGCCTATCTGTACCTGGAAAGAAAGTACTTAGAATTATGTTAGCTTTTCACACTCAGACTGACAAAACTGCATATTTTGCATGACTAACATAACATTATTCTCCCAATAATTTTGGTTGTTTTGATTTTCTTACAGGTTCCACTCTTCTGTTAACAGAACTAAGAATACAGTAGAAAGACACTTTCTAGGAGATAAGAGTATAATGCATTGATATGCATAGTCTGAATGAAACAAGAGTATTTGTAGTACCAAAGTATCTGATTATGAGTCTTTGTACCTATGTTTTGTTTATTTGAGATGGGGCATCCAGTGATTCATGAATACCTAACATGGTGGGGTACAATCACTGTAAATAACATGTTCACCAGGAACAATTATCATTACTGTTTTCAGAAGAACTTCATGTTTTCTGGAAATGCCTTTATTGATAGTGATTTTAGCTGTTTAAGAAAGAGCTTAACACTCACATTCGAATTAAAACAGCTTTGCTTCATTTGATGAGTGCAAATGTTTTCTTACTGGAAAACCATATTCTTTCATAGCTTGATTGGTAACATTGTATCTTTATGATTTAGTCTTAGATGATTCAGTCTTTTAATATTCTATCATCTCTTAAATGCCTTTCTTTTTAAAGAATATTTTATACATTGAATCGTAAAATTTGAGTCATAAGTATTGGAAAATGTTTCTAAGATTCCTGCTAATCTTTTCCACACTTAAGTGCGGTATTTTAATGTATAGAAGAACCTAAAAATTGAAGTAGTGTTAAGCATTATCATATATTGCCTATTTTCTGACTTTTATTTTTGTCACCTAATATGCAAGCTGATTGTAGACATTGAGTACCTCTAGCAATTTCTTTTGGTTCCTATGTTATTTAGATTCTGAGGTTTATATTCTAAT